CCTCCTTGCTGGCTGAGCACACGTGGAACCACCTGCATGCAACAAAATTCACAAAAAAACTACAAGGGACAGTATATAAAACCCATAGTCATTGGGTTAAGAGCAAACTCCATCAAGCAAAAATGAAAGGATGAAGGAGAGAAACTCCAAATCCCATTAATATTTAAAAAAGGTTAATAGTCCTGTCCCACTAAAAACAGAAAGCAGGCATGGTGTACATAATAATCTTGAGAACCGGGATGATTGTATTTTCAGACATTTTTTGTGTAGTAGATTAACATGGTTCATTCAAAGTCTAGGCATTTATTAATGATAACTTATTAATTAGAGTTAATATAATTGTAAGTTCTACTGGAAAATGGTGACTATTTAATCCTGAAGGCTCTCACACAAAAGCTAGGCTTTATCCCCAGTAGGACATTATTGTCATCATAATCACAGTGTTAACATGCAGCAAATTACTAAATGTAAAAAAAAACAAAAAAACTAGCATATATGGATGTCTCTTGAAGCATTTAGTTATAGTGGTGTCAATTTCTAGACCTACCTGTGACATCACTTATTTACCCAATCTTTGAAATTCTTGGGAAGAAAAGTTTTATTTTCAGCACTATTATCATTATTAATAGCAATACAATAACAATAATAATGACAATGATAATAACAATAGTAATAATAATAAACAATAAAACTTTTCAGGAAAAATCAAGAATTAGGTTGCTAGGTTAGATCAAGCAGGATCCTTTTGTGAAGCCATCTTCGTGTAAACAAAATAAATAAAACAAGATGGACTGCAATTGTACCCATAGTCTCATCTTTGCTTTCATGTTATGGAATGTGTAAAGGTTAATAGAAAGAGAAAAAGAAAAAGAAAAAGAAAAGAAAAGAATAAACAAGAAAACAGGGATTAAAAAAATAATACATAAACCTACAACTCTCCTTAAGAAAGTTAAAACACAAAATATAAAATATAAAAAATTAAACACCCAAACCACATGCATACTACCCACACCTGTACCTTTGGTCTTGTAAAGAACAGACCACTTGTGCAATGGCAGGTACATCTCCTCATCACCTGTGAAAACATGACGATATTGACTGCTTTACATACCTTACCCTACTGCAAATCCTTTGAAAGGGATTCCCAATGTGAAAATAGTACATGTGCAAATATATCTCCACAGATTTCTTTTCAGTTTAGTTTATACGGATATAGATACAGGTAATTACGAGTACTCAATTTTCTTCAAAAGGTATGATGAAGTCTTAAACATAAATTTCTTGATAAATCTGAAATAGAGACCCATCTGAATATGCTAATTTCTTTCAAAGAGATGGACTGCCTAAAGGTCTCCATAAATAATAACATACTCTAATACTTACACTTAAAATTCAATGTTTATTGGTCAAAACAAACAAATGTGCTGGACATCACAGGTCAAATAGCACTATAGTGAAGTCTTGTAGTAAAAGGGGACATAAATGAAGTCATTGTTAGAACTCAACGTGTTTGATGCCATTGGTCATACAGCATTATAAAGTAGTATGGGAGTGAGGAGGGTAAAGAGGAGTTGTTGAAGGGGTGGGGCAGGGATTGATAAAAGGAGAAAGGAAATATGAGCAAAGCGTGATTAGACCAAATGGAGGGTATCTACGCACCACTTCAAATTCAAATACTCAGCAATTTCAGAAAAGTGATTCATTATTTGTCTATTTTAACCTTGTTTCCTTGAATATAGGATATATATAATATGATACAGCTGCAAAACTAAATTTGGGTTAATGTAATAATGAGATCAAAGGTTAGTTCCTCTTGCAGTTAAATATGCAGAGTGCTACAATTTAAATGAATGAAAATTAAAAACAAAAACTTTCTGGAAAATATTTCCTGTCATTAAAACATGGAATCAAATGTGAGGTTTTAAAAGTTTTTAGTCTACTAATCTGCATAAGCAGATTAATAGACTAAAAACTACTAATATGCAAATTAATAATAAAAATGTTCCAACACGTAAATTAATGACTATAAAGTTTTAATCAACTAATTTTTTAATGTCTGGTTTTCAAGCACAATTTCTTGA